AGAATGATTTCAGTTTCCAACAATAATTTTGTGGCAACTATCGGTTCCAATATAGCCTTGTCTAGTGGTTATATTATGGAATCAGGTACATCAATAGCCTATCCTCATATATCTAGAATTGCTGCGCTCCTGAAAGCTGCACATCCTCATTAGAGTCTTGCAGCCATTCGATCTGCCATGATGACCACCGCGAGTACAGTTGATAATACTCGAAAACCAAACAAGGACGTAGGACATGATTATGATATTGCACCACCTCTTGACATGGAAGCAGGACAAGTTGATCTGAATCGTGCACTTGATCCAGGCATAATTTACGATGCCACAGCACAAGACTACGTAAATCTCATTTGCGCATTGAATTTTACACGTGAACAAACTCAGACCATCATAAGACCAAGCTACAATTGCTCCAATCCGTCGCTTGATCTTAATTACCATCATTTATAGCTCTATACGATCCACAACCAGAAACAACTACCTTAACGCAGAAATTTCGGAGAACTGTGACAAATGTAGGCAAAGGTGCAGCCACATATAAAGCTAAGGTGAAAACACCAAAGGGTTCTGTAGTCACAATATCCCTGAAAACTTTAGTCTTCCGAAAAAAAACGAGAAGCAGAGTTATTCTTTGACAATACGTTACAAGACTTACACGGATTAAGTGATTAATCATGGTTCACTCACATGGACTGAAGAGGCTGGCAAGCACATAGTAAGAAGTCCCATTGTGGTGTCTCCAGCCCAACCCTCCTGATTTTTTCTTTCTTTTTTTTTTTGGGCTGGTATTTTTCTAAAAATCTGGCTAATAAAATAGAGTATTCTATGTATTGTCCATTTAACTTTTCAATCATTAAGTCTGTGATTGATCACTTATAAGATTAGACTCTATTGTAAAGGAAAATGGATCAAGTATGAAAGGAAGATATTCGTAAGGAGAAGTGGATGGCATTGGAAAGAGATGTAATTGTGCTGAAAAGACAAGTACTAATCCCACATATGCGATTGCCGCTTCCAAAATAATCCAAAGTTTTGCCCTATTATAAAACAAGCGGTGTTAGGGGCGGAAGCAGAATTTTAACGTTGGGGAGCACAATCAAACTTGCAAAGAAATTGGGAGAAATTTTACAATAAAAAATTTACGTTCAAAAAAATCATACTCCATGTAATTTTACATCCAAAAATTTAAATGGGATATGACTTTTTCGAATGTAAAATTTCGAAATTTTTCCTAATAAAATGATGAAAATTATATTGAGAAATTTGTATCGCAAAAATAATAAATGTTAATGAAATAATTGATTTTTTTTTTAAAATGCGAGTTAGACGTCTTTTTAAAGGTTCACGTTTAACGTATTTTTAATTATTTTCGATATATGTTTGAACTATTCGGTATGTCCATAATGTAATTCTTGAAATAAGCTTAGAAATGATTCAAACAATTTGTAGATTCGATTAGCATACGATCGTCGGAGAATTTTTAAAATTAGTATATTTCGAAATTCAAATTTATTTTGATTTTACCCTTGTTTGGTGGAGATTAAAATCA